TAGGTGCCATTTCTTGTGTGCCTCGTCCTTCGCTGTGGGCAACTTCCAAATACCGATTCTTATCGTTCTTCTACAACTCCCACAGCCAAACACAGCGCGGTTATTTCCAGGCATGACGACTTATGAGTAGTGCAGCTATAACACTCATCGAATCGAGATTAATCTAAGCTAAAAATCCGGCGAAATACAGCGTAAGTCTCCGCACATTCACGTCACTCCGATCGCCATGTTGATTTTCCTTGTGCACCGTCATGATCACGTGACTAAGGGAAACCATAACAAAGACATCGACCTTTGATGTTTACCGGGTTTCATAACCAGTTCCCTCTACTAACTATGACTTCACTAATGGATTCTGGTGCTAATAACGATAAGGAATTGAAAGCATCACAAATCAATCCCTCATTTTGACGATAATTTGCAACCAGCGCCAATTGCAGAGACAAACGAGCACCCCCCTTCGAGTAAGTGCCCCACTCCTCTCTCACTTTCTCAAATAGTAGAGATAGAGGGAAAACCTGTCTCTATTGGCACTTTACACACAACCTTTCGTGCTTTAACTACAGTGGAGTCAATACAGGTTAAAAGTTTCTTTATAAGCACCTCCCTCTTGATTACGCTCTCTTCGTCCAATAAGCACCTTTCCTTTTAACCAAAACTTTAAATATGTTCCCGGGTGTTTATTGCAGGAGATACAGTAATTGAAATTAACAAGAATATTAAGAACTGTCTCCACGGCTTTCCTTGGTGCAAAATACTGATTTGTTCTAATTCTTTACTAGTTACTTAATGACCAATTACAAATTTGCAATTCTACTAACATTAAGGTTACGTTTTAAGAAGTAATTTACCACTACACTTAAGCAAAAGTGTTGCCTGTGCTCTTCATTGGAGAAATGTGATGTTTACCCAACCATGACCAGCGCTATTATATCAACATTCATTTCGCTGATATGTTCCGTCGTTAAAAGATCCTCCCCCTCCTCCACAGAAAATATGTTTATTAGCTCCGCCACTTCCCCCAGAGTAACCTCCACCTCCGCCCGGTCCCTTGTTGTAAACACGAAGACCACCGCCACCCCCGAACCCACCGCGATAATCTCCACCCTCCCTCCCCTCAAGATATCCTTTTCCCCCTTTGCCATCCCGGGTTGAGGCATTTTGTCCATCACTGTAGAAGCCGCCGCCACCACCACCTATAATGCAATCGAAAAGTGTCCAGTGGTTCTCTTTCAAATAGCACCGTAGTTTTTTTCTTAATATTTAGGAGGTTTAATTATTGGATATCGTTGGTAATAGAAAAGCTTATAGGGACAAGTCAATGTTAAAATGCTGCAACTAACTCTTTCTTCAGTGCTTTTGATTAATCCAGATCCGCAATTAGTGAATGAAAAGCCGTGTGAACTGTTTCGAGGTCATCTCCTTAATGGAAAAAATATGTGAGAAATTTGAAAAAGGAAAAAGCCAAATTAAGCAGAATTCTAATTCTTGTACGAGGCGCTTCCAAAGGTGTCATCAAAGAAAAAACCTCAAAATTAACATTAATCATTTTGATAATTACAGTTTTAGTAAATCCTACAAAATCTGACTAATGGCGACTCTGTCATTCAGTTGAAGATCCTGAAGGTGGCAGTGGAATGCAACGAGACAAAAACTCATGATCAGTATTTGTAAACACATTTGTGAACATTCTCCACCTACCAGAATCCCCCTTATAAGTATGTCCTCCATGTCCGTTGCTTACTCCCGAACCCAATGGCAAGTTGTTCCCAGCATTCCCTGTGGTGTTCGTGGACGCATCACATCCCATATTTTGTTTTGACATTGCTTTAATTCCCACTCCACCTCCAGCTATGATCAAAGGCGTGTTGCTTCCTCTCACTACAAATGTACCTCCTCCGCCTCCAGCATTTTAAATGAAATAAGTCCCTCTTTCTCCTTTTTGACCTACATGGACACTTATGATCTCATCTTTTGTCAAATGAAAGTTTCCAATCATTCGTGCCCCTCTTCCTCCGTTCTTGATGATACTATTCTTGCCATACCCCCCTGAGGCTCCTATTGCTTCTATTCTGTATTTACCAGTATGTGGCACGGTCCACAGTTGAATGCCGCTGAACAGTGCAACTTGTCCGTCATGATCCTGACCTGTGTAGTAACAACCGATTGAGTCTGGACCCTGACTTACCCTCCCACCAAGATTTGTAAACACAGCTGTAAATCCTGCGCAATAAAAAAAAAATAAAAGTGAAAGTTATGATACTAGTTAGACAGTCAAAATTTTTTGGGAATTGCCAAAATTGCCCACCGCCACTTAGAAAATATATTCCTGCAAACTCAGCAAAATAAGACAAAGAAGCATGAAAGAGTCAGAGGCAGTAGAATAATAAAGCAATCACAATGCCGCATGATTCCTGGCCCACGGGGCTCTGATCCCACCATGTTGTGGGAGTTTGATTTTGTTCTGCTGTTCCAATATTTTGCGTCGGTGAATATTTGGCATAAATAAAAGGCCAAATTTTTACTGACGTAGGGAAGAAACAGCTGTTAGCATGAAAAGCATTACAATGAAACGTTACAACTAGTTACTGTTATGGATAGTGATTAGAAATAAGTATTTAGAAATTTCTAAAATGGTTAGCCAAGCTGACTTGCACTGATGCATCACGATTGAATTTACCTTGTTCATAATGGTTTCCTGTCCACCCGGATGAGTTGCAAACACAGGTGTAGTTCAAGTGACCGTTTTGGCATTCGTGTTTAATGCAGTAATCTGCAACTAGGCGGGAAAAAATCTGTAAAGGACATTAACTCGGACACAAGGAAAGGTATAGGGAAACGTTTGTCTTCCTAACCTTCTGTTTTCATGTCGCAACGAGCTAGAATAGAGTTCCCAGATCTAGTGGAATCCAACCAATAATTAGCGCTGAGTGCTTGTCCTCCTTCACTCGCCTGAGCCTCTTTACATGAATCAGCAGGCAGCTCAGGGATAGAGCCGAGAGGGACTGTAATTGAAGAAATACCTTTTAGCATGAAAAACATAACAAACACTTGGTTGTAACGATCAACATACGATCTATGATTGTTATTCTTTAAAGGAAGTTTAGATGAGGAACACGTTTTTATTAGCTAAAATTATATCTGTAAGCTTCGTTACCTCGTCTTGATCCTTTCGCCATATAGTATCTCTCTTTGTCTTGAACAAAGTCTTCCGGTCTGGTTTCCCTTGTCCTGTTGTTTAACTCGCAAATTGAAATAAACATGAGGACGTTATAACTTTGACATCTGAAATCAGCGAGGCAAGCTTCGCGGCATTCCAGCGTACCTGGTGTAGTTTTGAAGGTCTTAAACGTGTGACCCTTGAGCATCATTTCGTAAATGGAGTAAAGGTCGCTACCGTTTCCACACCGTTGACTGGCAACGTTATTCAACAGTTGTGAAAGCATGAAAAACACGACCACGAATGAGGAACATTGATTAGCCATTTTCAGTCTTTCAGTTTTGTGACATCTGAATAAACAAGCTCAACATTTTCTTTAACAAACATTGAAGATGTGGAGCGGACCATAAGAACCTTCATGGAAAGGAGGCGGAGGTTTTACAAAGCTTAAAAACAGAGAAAGAAAAAAAACATTGACGTTCATCTATAAAACTCAGAAAAACATGCATGCGCTTAATTTTCATTATTATAGCGTGTGTGTAGACGAAAGTCCTCAAAAAAAAAAACAAAATGGACAATCTGAGTTTGGAAGGTTTTCACCATGTCGCGCTCAGTTAGATTGTAAACTTACATACGGTGATAAAAATAAAACACAGCTGGCACTCGTAAGGTATATAAAGTATCGTGTTTAAAATTAAAATAGAACACAACAGAACAGGTATGATGAAATTTGAAAATATATCCAAACTGACATAACTTTTAAAATTCATATACATCATCATGTCAGAGCGACTGCGATCATGCTGAAGTCCATAGCTCATCAATGCGATCTTTGGTCGTCGCAATGAAGCAAATCTCAGAAATTACATCGACCGCCCTTTGAGTGAACTGAACTGAGAGCTTGCTCTGATATCCTTCCCGATATGTCGTGTAGAAGGACACATCAGTCACTGTAGTCGAGATATTCGGCGCTGTCATTCCGAGCAATCTTCTTGTTCCTGTGAATTCGGCCGACGTTCATTCACGAAACACACGCCTTGAGCATTTTTTTTCTAATTATCATGTGAAAGAACTTTCTTGTTCTTATGAGCCACAAAACTCACACCTTGAGTAGTTTGTTTCACTAATTATCATGCGGAAAAACTTTCTTGTTTTTATGAGCCACAATTGGGCCAGATTTCACAAAAAAATTCACGCCGAGATCCCTATTCGTATTAAGAGTAATTGAAAACACATCAGACAAAAGTGTTAAATTCGGCCCGTCGAACTATTTCAGTTTGTAAACTATTGTAGATTGTACACTTGGATGGTTTGTGAACTTAAACGGCTTGACATGTTTGTTTCTTCCCACTCCAGAGGTGCGGAGAAACACTCGACTACTTCTCTTGTTTCTCACTACACTTCTTTCGTGCTTTAGCCGCCAGGTGCGTGCATCACAACAGAACAGCGCACAGTCAAGGCTTCTTCATCTGTTAACTATCGGTTGAGGAGCCTAACATGCTCAGACAAAAACGTCTGAGTATGTTTAGTTTCCTTAAAACATTTTACTGTCGGAATGTTGTCGCCGGCGGATTTTTTTTAAACCGGTTAATTCATGCATAGTTAGTAGAGGGGACTGGTTATGAAGGCCGGAAAACTTCAGACGAGGAACTCTTTGTTTCCTTTTTTGGTTTGTCACGTGATTACGGTATGTCCCCTCTACTAACTATGATTCATGCAAAGCGTGTGTTTTTATGTCGCATAACTTCAGCTCTCGAACACACTGCGTATTATGAAAAACAAGCTCAGTCGCGTATGACTCATTAGCAAGGAACTCCTTGGCATGTAAAGCAATAATGACTCACTCTTTTAACACTATTTAACACTATTTAAACACTATTTTAACACTATTTAAATCCTGGCCTTTTAACTCTAAAACTGTAAAAAAAGTTTCCTTCTGTAGTGTGTATTAACAGTCACTTGAAGGCGATACGCTGAACTTTAACCTAGAGCATGCGCAGTTTTAGGGCGTCATTAAGTAAACACGAACAATAAATCCTAAAACGTCAACTGTCGTCTTCGTTAAGAAAACTGTTTTGTCTAAACCTTCTTTTTTTTCCCACTAGCTTTGTTAGAACTTCCTTTCTGGTGTGGATCATCAATAATTTATGCCATAGTTGTCCCCTATGTACTTTTCCATTTGACTCGATAATTATGTCGGGATGAGTTCAACGTATAGGGCTTAGCTACTAGAGGACTTTTTATAAACTGTTTACAAACTCTCTCCTTCCGCCCACACTTGATCGAAATGATAGGATGACGTGTTTTGATAAAACAGGTTAATGTCTCGAAATTTTCGGAAAAAAACTGTGAAAAAACTTATAGTTTGAACGACGTTTTCTAACGGGGGAACGAGTGTACAGCGGCAACCAACCTGAGAATTCAAAATGGCGGAGTAAAGGGAATTAAAAGGGTCTGGCAACTTGTTTTGAGCACGTGCTCTTCGAACGCGATCGTTGGAGCAAACCATAAAAAGCATGGACGGTAAGTGTAGGTTTTATTGAAGGATTTTACTTTGAAATGTTGACGCCTCGGAATACTAGCCTTCGTGGCTTCGCCTGGGCAATAGTTAGATAAAAGCGAGTCGTCTAATTTCGCTGCAAGTGGCGACCTACCGATAACATCAGTGTTTGTCCCCGTTTCCCGTTCCCCGTTTCCCGTTTCCCGTTTCCCGTCTCCGTTTCCCGTCTCCGTTTCCCGTTCCCCGTTCTCTATTTCCCGTTCCTCGTTAGTAGTTTTAGTAACATCCAACGAAAAACAGATGGTCAACAACCGCTCACGAAGAACCCACAATCTATTAAACTTGTAATTAAGAACTCTTAGATATGTCAAAATTTTTTAAACTTTTTTAACACTCTTCAGGTCCTACCTTTTTACCCAGCTCTGATAAATATAGAAATAGATCTTTTTCGATAGTATGCAATAACAATCACTTGGAAGCGAAACTCCGAAATTTAGCCTCGAGCAAGCACGTTATAGGAGGTAATTGAGTTTAACAGTAATAACAAGTCCTAAAATGACAAATTCTGGATGAGTGAAGAGGAAATATGATGAAATGAGTCATGCGATCGATCAAAGCTTGAAAAATGATGGAAAATAGGACGCCGAGTGTTAATGAAACAGTTTTCCTTTCCTTTGTCTAGAACTTTTGCCACACGCTATACTGCAATATCTGCATTTTCACACCATCCGTAAAGCGTGTTCTCGAAAATTGCTGTTTTCGATTTACTGCTAAATTATTTAGTCTGGTGTTAATGGTAGGCTAAACTGCAACGGAATAAATTTGATGTTTAAATTTCCTCTCTTGGTATAAGCGAGGACTCAAAGCGTGGTGTTAATTGCTGAGCCGGACGCAAAGTTCAAGTCCTGTCAGTCAAAATAAGATGTTTGCATCAATAATGAGGAATTCCTTTTAAAAAATAAATTCCCTGTGGTGAACGCACCCATGGTTTTCTATAGAGCCTACACCGAGCTACTTTCCCCGTAGTCGAAAAGTATTATCGAACATATTCATTTTCATTCAATTGAGTCTAGAACTTTGAAATCTTTTTGATTAGTAGAATGTACTAACGTCAATGTTCACAATATTTCGACCTATATCGCGTCACTGATGCCGGTGGACAATCATTGATGCATGAAATAACTGGCAGGATTTTAAAAACCCGTCTTCAGCGCACAGTGAAAACTGTGTCTGATGCAAAAACGGCTCTGCTATTTCTTCACGCACTTGAATAAGCTTAAAAAATCAAGAAAACAAATTTTGAACTCAAAATATCCTTACGAACTCCACGAATCCACGGTCAGCGATCTGTTTTCAAACAGGACTGTGCAAAATTTTCAAAACTAATTTGTGCGTGGAAACCACCTGTTTATGGAGCAGCAATAAATATACGTATGTATGTTAAGTGAAATTGTGCCCTAAGCTAACTTAGAACTTCCTGTCTTTAAAGGCTCCACATTCCTCGATTTAGGTTTGTGAAATCTGAATAACAGGATCAACTCCATCTTAGGCCAAATTTCTTTAAACACCACTTTTTAATTCATACAAAACTTTTAAGCTAAGTTGACCTCAATAAGAATTTCCACAATTTCCAAACAAAAGTCTGCCCGTGGTCAAAGCATATCCATCGCGTGGGATCAAAAAGTCGAAAACGTGCATGGACAGCGTTGCAGAGAAGTGATTATTTATTTTGAAGTAAACTTTCGCGTTCGGCTACTCCAAAAACCATGCTTCCAATAAATTGGTTCTCTCGTCATCCTGATACTTCCAAAAACATGTATGGCAAAATGCCGCACTTAAAAATGCATGAACCTTTTTGTAGATCTATTTATACTACTCTATATTCAGCGACGTATAGATATTATTTGAGTCGGAAGAAATTGTTGAAATTAGTATCCTTGCTTGTTGTAAACAGGATTTACAGCGGTGCTTACAAATCTTGGTAGTGGTGGAAAGAAGGGTCCAAACTCAGTTGGTAGTTACTACACAGGTCAAGATCATGACGGACAAGTTGCAGTGTCCAGCGGTATTCAACAGTGGACTGTGCCACACTCTGGAAAATACAGAATAGAAGCAATAGGAGCCTCAGGGGGTTAAGGTAAGGAAATTATCTTAAAGAACGGAGGAAAAGGAACAAGGATGATTGGAAACTTTAACTTGACCAAAGATGAAATCATACATGTAATTGTTGGTCAAAAAGGGAGAAAAGGAGATAACAGCCCAAAAACTGCCGGAGGCGGAGGAGGTACATTTGTAGTGAGAGGAAGCAACACGCCTTTGATCATAGCTGGAGGTGGAGGGGAAATCAAATAAATGTCAGAACAACATCTGGAATGGTGGGAAAGGGAGGGTCTTGTGGAGTTCCACAAGGAAGTATTTTAGGCCCCTTGCTCTTCAATGTTTACACAAACGATCTTCCTTGCAAAGGTGTAGCTCCCAGAATTATATAGACGATACAAAGCTCGTCATCCCTTTTCAACTAAAAGATACAGAGCATGCTGTAACCGACTTAAACAGTGACCTTCTTCAAATTGCCGAATGGTGCTCTAATAATTATTTTTTATTGAACCCAAGTGAAACCAAACTGATGGTGTTTGGGAGCAGACAAATGCGCTCAAAGTTAGGTTCCTTTTAGCTCCACTTCATGGGAAAGGAACTCCTCCCTGTAAACACTGTTAAAGACTTGGGCGTATTTTTAGACTCTAATTTAACCTTTGATGAACACCTAACCAAACTGTATCTTCCTGTATGCATCGACCTAGTCAAGTCAATCGTACCAAACATATTTTTAACAAACATACTCCTCTTACGATTATTAACTCTTTAGTTTTTAGAAACTTGTTTTATTGTTCAAGTGTATGGTCGAGTACCTCAAAGCGCAACAAAACGAAATTACAGAGCACACAGAATTTCGCCTGTCGCATTGTTAGCGGTGCACGCAAATACGACCACGTTAAGCCTCTTCTTAAAGAACTCAACTGGCTCCCAGTGGCAAATAAACTATATCTTAGCGACGTCATAATGACTTTCAAAGATATGACAGGACGAGCCCCAAAACACCTCTCCTCCAAATTTATCAAACGCGAGGAGGTTAGCAGTCGTAAGACCATAAACTGTCAAATGTTGCATACTCCCCTTTTTAAAACTAGTAGTGGTCAAAAGACCTTTTATGTTAGATCAGCTGATATTTGGAATAATCTTGAGCACTCTTTTAAGATTTGTGATTCCACACACGTTTTTAAGCATTGCCTAATTAATAAGATACGTGATCATTTTGTAGATTAATATTATGCATTACGTATTATATCGTATTGTCATTATTACATTGTATTGTCATGGTATGTTGTATTTTTTTGGGATATTGTCTTTGAAAAACCCCATTGGGGAAAGTCAGTAAAGTATGTATGTATGTATGTATGTGTGTATAATAGTGCTGGTCATAGTTGGGTGAACATCACATTTCTCCGTTGAAGTGCACGTGGAAACACTTTTGTTAGCGTGTGATAAATCATTGTAGGCATAAAAAATTACTACCAGATCGTATTTTGCGCAAAACGAGTTGTGAAGTCAGCTCTTCATATTCTTGTGCATCTTAATTATTACATATCTGAAAATAATTTTCAAATGGCTGTGACAGTTTATCATGCAATCACTTTACTTTTCTAGATCGGCTCAAAAACAAACTCGATTTTCAAATTCCATACGATCAGTTAGACTCTGTGGGTTGGTTGAACCTATTTGGATAAAAACCGTAGCTATCAGATAATCTAAGCGCTGATTGTACTTACACATTGTTATTTATAATATAGATGGTAGCGCCCGCGGGCAAGGTGAAGATAATCCTGTATTCTGATTGGCTACCCGTGAGGGTATGGGCCCATCTTTACCCGCTCAGGACTACCTGCCTTGATCCGGCACAAGAGAAAAAAAATGCGTGAAGCGGACTCACAAAATTCGTAACTTTTGAAAAATATCTGCCATGAAGTCGCAAATGGCGGCAGAAGACGGTTAAAACAAACAAAATTACATAAATAAATAAACGCGCCTCTTAGTTACACTGTGCTACAAACGCAGTTGGTTTTCTTTCCCGGTTCTCAAAGTAAACAGGTCACTCTTGATTTCTATTAAAACGAAACATTTTTGCTAAATAGCAAATCCTTTATTGACTTCGTCTCGATCCATAAAAACGCCAGAAAAGAACTCTGCCAATATCCCGCCATCTTGACACTATGCTTGGTCAACAATGCATATACATATTTAAGTTCATTCTAATCAAATAAAGCGGTTGTGCAGAGCAGTAGGTCAGATTTACGCATTACTCTATAGTAGTATATAAAACCCTAATCTTAAGACCTCGAGTTAATCCCAAATACCTCAAAAGCTTATTGCAGTTAATTTTCAATGTCCAACGCCATTTAATGTGGCCAACCTAAACCCATGTTCGTCTTCAAGAAGTGAGCTGGAAGTTAAGGTGTTTGGATAACTCACCAAATTAGTTTAACGGTTTTCTTCTATTTCGAACGACTTTCTACGTTAAAAAAAGTAAATTATCTTAGCTCCTCTAAAGACGACGTAAAAAGCACTCGGGTCCATGGAAGTGTGAGTTTTCTCATCATGTCTTACAAAATAGAAAGTATGACAAACGCTGGAGATGCACAAGAGATAAGTGGATTTGACGGATTTAAACATTTCTTCACAAAGCAGCAACCTTGAAATGAAAAGACGCTGCAGATCAAAAAAAGAAGGAAAAACGCTTGTTTCTAACTTGTTGCAAGTCGACACCGTGATAAAATTAAGGAAAGAAAAATATATATGACAAAAGCGAGTGCTCTTGAGCATTTTATTAGTCGGTTGGCCAAATAATTTCTGTAATGCAGGAAAATTATTTTAAATCTGTTTTTTTTTTAACTTTCGAAGGATTTTAAACCTTAGTGAGTAAGTAAAACCGGGCATTAATCATTCTTAGAAATACTGCTTCCAGGATGCGAAAATAAGTAAGATATAAGCTTTTAGTAAAACGGACACGAACTTGTGAGATATCCTGTACACGAACACCCAGCTCCAACATCGTTCAATGATTCAAGTCCTGGTCAAGTCCAAGTGTAAATGAGTCTGAAGCTTCTTTTTATGACTGTCAGCGGACAGAGACTCCGGAAAGCTAAGACTGGGAACCTAAGGACATTACAGAAAAAGGGAAAAAAAGACTCACTAAGGAAGAAATGCCGGTTAATTAATAAAAAAACATTAAAATACGTTAAATAACAAAATAAGTGAACTCAATTCAAACAGCACCATTTTCATTAGCTGTCTAATGGGAACTTTACAGCAAATGCACCCTACAATAAAGAATATCGATACCATATAAAAATAATGTGATTTATAATAAGGATTGAATTTCAAATAAAGGTGAAAATATTTTCTTGCAATATATTGTTACATTCAGTTAAATGTGAGATTCTGAATTAACGTGTTTCCCGGAATATCTTGCACTTTAATAGTCTATTTCTTTTCATACCTCGGCAACCATAAAGCTCCATCCTTAGTGATATATGACGATACCATGCTGTTGGTCGGAGTCTTATATAACGAGCTTGGATTGGTGGGTTCAGGTTGTGATAAACAACACTGTCCCTGTCTTTATTTCCCTCAAATGTCTGTCACATACAAGATGAACTTAATCAAAAATTTGTTTTGTATCGTGAAATAAATATAGTGGGAACATTGGCAAATGATTCAACTTTATCATCAGCGACAACTAAGAACATGGAGTAATAAATGAAGGTAAAAGGATTCAAGACTGAAATTTGCACTCTCCTTTTGAGAGCGATTTATTATATATCTCGCCTATATGATGAGTAAGTCAGGTGGGCCGTATTCACTACTGATGACCCGCTAAATTGAAACGTTTGTTTGAATTGGAACCTTTCCCCTCCATTTGAATCTACACATACGATAAATATCTTACTCAACTTTTTTCCTTGCTCAGTACTGAAAGAACGGAATCTTGTTTACTGATCGAATTTATGGCTTATCCACTTTGCCTAAGATCATAATAAAAAAAGAAATATTAAAGCTGTTAAGTGTGTACTTTGATGAGCTCGACATTACCTTTGGTGAACTATGTCCTGGTACTTTATAGTAATAGAAGTTCATTCCATCATCACTGTACTGCAGCTTGTACGCCGTTACCCATTGGTTGTGAGCATTCCTTCCCTGTGTCGCTATACTTGTTAATTTAGTGTAACTACCAAGAGCCACCTGGATCCATTGATTTCCATTGTTCGAGCGAGCTGACCATCCTCCTGTTTTGCCTCCACCAGCCTTAAAGTTCAATCTTCCTTGGATTGCTGCATGATTTCCATCCCATTGTGAAGATGCAGTGATTTGAGAGTCTTTGATGTGGCGACTTTCCATACCAAGAGGTGCCGAACATTCTTTACATGACAAAAACAAAGGAATAAACACATATTTTTAGGAGTGTGAAGGGAAGAAACTTATTCATAGCCTTGTCTCTCTTTTAATTCTATCAAAAAGATGTTGGGCTAAGTATTTACTCAGCATAGAGCATCTATATTAAAATAGGATGTTAATAAGCCAGTCAGTGCTGACATATTAGCGATGGAAACAGATTACAAACTGCTGCACGGAAACACAGACTAAGGGTTAAAAAATAGCTGTTACACAATTAATAACCGCCCTAGATCCCCTTTTCGAGGTCATCTTGCATAACATTTGACATTCTGCTAGAAAGTTGTTGCTCTAGAAATGTACTTCTTGACTTGAGTGGCAAGGGTTAAAACTTGTTTGTAACAATTGTTTTAAGCATGAATGAAGGTGTGTCATGGGTTTTCTCATAACTTTTGAAAATCGAAAACGTACAAGGGTTTTTGCATGTGTTTGCCTAAAAAGGTATAAACTTAACGGCAGTGTAGGATAGAGTTCTCAATTAGGTCCCAAATCTCAAAACTTAACTTCTAAATCAAGGTTATTTGCCGCCATCGGCCGATGGCGATTTATAGTGGTCAGAACATGCTAAAATTCCCCTTTTTAAGTATATTGAGAGGAAAATTTTAACTCTCTTGGCAAACTAGTGGTGTTTTTAAGCAATCTAATATTGATTTTGTGGCTTAACTATGCGAATCAAATATTTTGCAACGTTACAAAAGATGCCTATTTTTCAATGATCTCAATGTTGCAACAGTCCCTACGTACGGACTGGGGAAATTATTACGGCCCCTAATGCAGTCAGAAAATCATTTCAAATCAAACCAAATCTAGTTTAGTTCTCGACAAATCATCGAGTCTACGGACAAAGAGACTGTAACAGTCAAGGATTCTCCTTCCTCTTTGCCTCTAAAATCGCCGTCGAAAGGTTTTCTCGCAGGCAAAGATCGGTTCTGGCGAATGCAATTTTTGGCTGAAAGAAAGTAATATTCCGATGCCTTCATCCCGGCCCGGTTGGACCTGTTGGCATTTGAGTTTATCTGCAGATTGAAATCTCGAAGAGATTAGATTGCCAACATTTAATTTAGCATTTAGTTCTTCAGAGGAAGCATGCGAGGAGGCGAACAATACTCTCAAAAGAAGGTTTGAAGGCAAAAGAAATAGACTGCAAAATTATCTGGGAGAATTAAGAAAATTGAATCAATTCAAGAAGGAAATTAAACGGCAAAAACTTGAGAAGCGTGCCGATACCCCTGTTAGCACAGCAGTTGCTCTCTTCGAATATAAGCGTCATAGTGAACTTGAATCTGGAAGTTTCCTTTTTACTGGTTTTGAAGAACATTCCACAGACCATGTTATGATTCTACATATGGTTAAAGGCTGACTTGAGAGTACAACTGGGACAACTAATCGCCAGGCTAGGGCCGTTGGGGTGGTGGAATATTGGCTGTCCGGAAGGAAACTCATAGAACTTACCTCGCCTGTACCTCTCTTTAGCAGATCGAAGGCATTTAACGAACTGAACGATTCTATGAATTAGTTTTGGAAAGTTGACACCTTAGGCATCGACGAGAATTGTGCTAAAAAGAGAGGAGGAAATAGTACTTGATAAGGTTTAGGTCACTCGTTCACACCTTAGAAGCACGAAAGTCCGACGTTACCGAACAGCTATGAGATGGCCTTCAGCCGCCTTAGAAATACAGAAAAGTGTTTAACTCGCCGACACATCGCCAGAAATCGAGGACATTTTGCTCCTGCATTCATTGGTCAGCGGATTGCAGTCGGATGAAAACAAAGATAGTAGTTAGGACAAGTTCCATATTAAATATTGAGCGATTTAAGTTCTGTGGACCTTCTTTATGGAGAAAAAAGCAAAAAAAAAAGAACAACTTTGAACATATCTCTTGGTATTTTTAAGGCAGAGCGACTTATAGCAATTTGCTGTCTGATGTAATGCAAGGGACAATCTGTACTAAGCTTCAATGTCCATTCAAACTGGCTTTATTTGTAATCGTCTACGAATGTCAGACATTTTGGAAATTGTAGCTTAAACCTCTTGCATTAAATAATGGGAAGATCTAGGCAAATCTTACTTGAAAAGGGCTTTTTCTCCCAGTTGAAAACACAGTTCAACGAACGTACTGTACAGATCTCTTTGATCTGCTTCCTAATTTTCGCGCGAGAAAACAAATTTATTCAGGGCTCTACTTTAGTATGAGAGGGTCTGGATTGAGTTTATTTCCTGTCAAACATTGCTGAATAAGAAAAACAAATATGGCGACAGTTTGATGGTTTCGCAGAGGGTTTTTCTTTTAACGCTTTCCCTTCTGGTGCGTTCTCAAGGATGGTCTATCACAGACTCCACAGAGCAAAAATAGCACTGAATTTTCAAGCTCTTTTGGAAGTATCTCATTGTCAAGAAATGTCTCTTTTTATGGACGATTTGCTTACTTCGAACTTCCCTTTATTTGATGCGAGTCGGAGCTAGTTGACTTCTCGGAAGGTTGCTTCTCAAATCGACGATCCTTTGCCAAGGATTACGCTACATTTGAAACAGACTAGAGGTAATGACTAGCCTCGAATATCGAACATTGCTGACATTGCTGGAAGTAAGTAGACAAACAGGTTTTGAATTACTTTTATGCTAGAAGTACAGCTTAATATCTACTGAATATGTTTCAAGTCGGAGCTAGGGAATACTCTGACTCGTATTTCTTGTATTTTGGATTTTTGTGGAAATCCCATACATTTCCATACACGATTTCGCCGCCATTAACTTCTTAATACGCACGCGCGTTCGGCATTTTGACCCAAATTTCTGGCAATGTTCGCTCGGAGAGGACTATCAGTTTTTGATCGCGTCTTACCTCGAAAAGGGTTAAATTCTCAGTGTACCTCAATCCAAAAAAAAGCCGCAATGTCAGTGGTACCTCCCTCACCTCCCTGTTTGCCGTCCCGAGAGGTCCAATGCAAAGACAAGAAGCGTATCTTATGCTAGAGCAAAGTGTCACGATACATCTTTAAGATAAAAATGTTACCGGACCCCAAGCTTGAGGCAAATCTGCTCGAAGACCTCCAGCGCTTTCGCCGTTTTCAAGTAGCCATTACATGCAACGTCACTGAAATTTGCTTAAAAGCACGCATTTCGTCTATAGACTGTTTGATGTTTGGATTTCGTCGGAGAAATTTAGAAGTTGGTGGAAATCCTGATCAATATGACTTTGAATACGTCGTTTTTAGAGGCGCATTGGCTTCGTATCCAGTTTTTGTCTTAGGATCGGAAACATCACGAAATAACAGAAAGAATTTCTCTCTTGCCTCCGAAATTGTCCAGAAGTCAACATACAAGAACAACTCTTTAGGGTTAACTGGAATGACGGTGATGGCGCAATCCAGTTCTTCAAAGAACTTCAAGATATGTAGAATGAAAGAAAGGATCGTGTTTGGAAAGGAAAGAAGGATCGTGTTTGGTTAATTAATTTACTCTCCGGAGGTGCTATCAGCCATTCCACAGAAACTCAGAGCACTCGCAATTTACCTTAACCACGACACCTAGTGGGTTTTCAGAGTTGGAGATCCTGAAAGAAATCAAAATCCTTAGAGGTTGAAGTTTAAGAGAGTCAAAAGTGTAATAGCGTCCACACCTTCGTGGAAGCATGAAACAGTGCTAATGAAACAGTAAGCAGTCTGAGATATATCTACGATGAAGAGCATTACAAAGAACTAAGGTTGCTCCTTTCACGCCAAAGACAACACCGCGATTGGAGTTATCGGCAGCCGTATATCAGCTACCACCTTAAAAAGCCTTAGATATCCCTTTAGAAAACGTATATTTCTGTTCAGATAGCAAGGATTTTCTCTCTTAGATTTGCGGTGAAGAGAAAAAAAAGTTCTGGCGTCCGTTCATGGCGAACAGAATTAGACAAATCCAACGTCTAACCTGCTTGCTGCAATCAATTAATCAATCAATCAATTCTTTGTTTGATAAAGCAGGTTAAAATTACAAAAATTACTTAAGTAATAGTTGCATCGGCAGCTATCAGCTGACGAAGACCTGCTATGTAAAACTATTTAAAATAGATGAGATCAAATATAGACTAAGACAATCACAATTACAATTACTCCATATGCCTAATTTCAAGAAAGCTGCCATAGGGATTAGCTATAGATACCTCATAACAGTACTCCTGTAGGCAGGCAGAGATTAAAATATTTTTTTTCTGTTGGTAAAACATTTCTTTTTAATTTATTATTTTTTCTCTATTTTTATAAAATTTAACAGTACTTAACACTACACTGTGATATAATGCATTACTTAGCTGTACAAAAGCTTCACCTCTATTTGTGATTGTCAGTCTCTACAAACTACTTTAGGCAGCCTTAAAAACTGGTCAAAACGTAAAATTTAACACCTCTAAATGTAAATCACTTAATGTCACCCGTAAAAAATCCCCCTGGTTCACGAGTACACCCTGGACAGTGCTCAACTTTAGCGCATCTCCACCGAAAAAGATCTGGGTGTTCACATCACAAGTTCGCTCTCTTGGAAACCCCACATCCACGCTAGTACTGCGAAAGCCAACAAGCTCCTTGGCTTTTTAAAGCGAACATACCCCCTAATAACTGACGTGACTGTTCGGCGCACGCTATACCTGTCACTGGTCAAGTCTCAGCTGTGCTACGCCACGCAAGTCTGGTCGCCCGCTCAAGTCACCCTAAAGGCCCAAGTCGATCGAGTACAACGCCGCGCCACCCGCTGGATTTTACAAACTCGGGTGGGAGAGGTCTCTTACAAGGACAGATTAATGAAGCTTGACCTGCTCCCTTTATCCTATGACAGAGAACTGAAAGACTTGTTATTTTTTTACAAATGTCTATACAACTATATTGACTTTAACGTACACTATTTTGTTAACTTTATCTCCCACGGCCGTACCAGACTTTTTAATTCTTTCAACCTAAAAACACCTATTTTTAGAACCAGTACTTT